GGTGAACATTCTACTATATTTGTCCCGCAGTTTCTGTAGAGGGCATTTTCTCAGAATCAGACTTTGTACTATTTGAAGATTGCATCTATGTGCACATTCCAACCTTCACCGTTATGACATAACATCTAAACGGTCAAGGACCGATTGAAATCAATCGGGGAAATAGAGACGGTGCAAGGGTCACGGCTATGATGCAAGTCAAAGGTCAAACAAGCAAATTTGTGGAATGTTTATCCCCCGCTTGCAGGACATATTGTAGGAACATGCGAGTATCGTGCTGTTGAGACGGTGTATAGCTTGAAATTTGAGAAAAAATTAAAAAAAAACTATACCTCATCGATTATCCGTAAATATGCACAAATCACATCGGTTGGAAAACTTGGGTCAAAGCAGAAACTGCAGATAATGATGTTTTTTGTGAATCAAGGGGTCATAACTCTGCCAAATGGTTGTCAAACTTGGCTGAGCCCTTAATGCGTTAAACCGCGTTACCAAGTTTGAAGACAATCAAATAATATTTGCGAGAGTTATTGCACGGAAATTTAAGCTCGCATACCCGCGAAAAGCGAGTGCAAATTGCAAACTGCGAGTAGAGATTTCAGACACCAGCATTTTTTTGGAGTGAAAATTTTGGGCTGAATAATCCTCATTTCTAATGGTCGGTCTTTACAAATTCTCTCGCGGTCATTTAAGCGCATTCTTGTCATTCGCCGAATGAATGATTCCGCTTTTGTCATTAACGGAAGTTTACAATCGATACATGTCCCGTGCGCATGTCCGTTAGGAAGTACTTGCACAAATAATGATGACGTTTACCGCATGCATGATGTTTTTCGGAAATCTATTTTTAGTTACTATTTATAGCGCAAATACGATAGGCTTGACTAGTCACGTGGTTGTATTGGGGTTTCCCANATATGGAGCAAGAAACTAAGATGCAATTTTTATGCTATATCTTAGAATAGCCTGAGCAGGCCAGCATCCTTTCACAGCAAGGTTTGCGTCATGTATACATCCCAATGACCATAATTTAAAATGTCAGTTAATACTGTGTTGTTTTAGAATTTAATTCTAAGTTAACATGTCTAATAAAGTTGGAAAAATGCAAATTGCAAGTTGTTTTCTTATTTAGCAAGTAAGAAAAAATACCACTTGCGAAATAATGCAAGTAGAAAATCTGGTTAAATTCGAACCCTGAAATGAAGTGTGACAGACGGACAGACAAACCCAAATTAATATCCCCCATTTCGGTGAAAGCGGGGGATAATTAATGGCCCCCTAGTGTGGGATTGTCACCATACAAAGGTTGTGTCCAATTCTTTTAGGTGAACCTAGAAGTTACAATAATTGACGAGCCATTCGGATTGATGCCTCGCCTATGCCCTGCTTTGACCATCAATGCACAACATATCCGAGAAACTAATTTAAATGCAAAAAATTTTGATCGAGATGCCGACAAAGTCAATGGACCATGAAAAGTTGACTGCATCCATCATTTGATGAATGGGTTGAGATGGACTACCCAAGATGCATATTTTGTCCAAGTTTGGTTGGTGTAGCACTTATACTTTCAGAGAAACTTAGTATCTTAAACACAAAATCTTAATGTTGACGCCACGGTCGCCGGAAAAGCAACACCCATGTCTCGCTTCCACTTCGTAGCGGCGAGACAAAAACTATTCGCTTCCACTTTGTAGCGGCGAGACAAAATCTATGGTCTGAACAAACATTTTCAATGAGGGAGCTCTGTCACCCAAACTTGCACATGAAATTGTATACTAAATATGGTGGTAAACCTAAGTAAACTAGTGAAATGCCTATGCAACAAAGGATGGACAGACAGGGTGCATGCATTCCTACTGTCTCGATCATTGGTTGCATCTCGTCTATCCTAAAGTATCACAAGGAGACCAATTACAGAGGTTAAAATTTACATCCAACCCCACTACCAAGTACACTACCTAGAGCACTCCAGACCAACTCGATAAATGATTTAGTGGAGACCTCCCCGATGTCGGTACCATCTTGCATGTTCAGTGGGCCTACAATGTTTGTTCTCTAAATTAACTTGTGGACAAAACCCTTCACAGGTGAAAACCAAACACCTACAGTGATCCCGTCTACTCTAGGTTCCACTTGGTGCTCATCGACACCAGGTCCAAGCTTTAGCCGAACATGAGTTATCACATTGTTTTATACTCGACAAGGGTGTTGATGAGCCCTATCAGCTGTTGTACAAACAACAACCTCCAGATTATCTCAAAAACTAACATCAATACCCTCGTCCTACCATCAGACGCAATTCACCCACAAACCACACCACCAAACAGTTATCATAGCTAAAAACTGACGCAAGCCAATTACTTTGATAATCCTACAGGCTTTAAACAATTATGCTGTGTGGGTTTTAAACCATTATCATGTTGACACCTCAATATCGAGGATTCCCCTTGGAAGGAGGGACTTCTACTACCCAAGTACATACCAAAATGGCTTTTCTTATTATGCAAATAAAATGACTAGAAAGCACACAAAATGACGAAAGAAACATACTAAAAGTATGATACATTAAGCAAATCCCCTCCACTTTGATGGGGATTAAAATCAATCCCAATTCTCATTTTAAGGGACATATAAGGAACTAGATTTACCTATGCTGTATATGGACAATACATAGTACAGTTGAACTTTGTTTGCTCGAAAACATTGAATGACGAATGACCATAGCATTACAATTTTATTGTTGTTGAAAAGATGAAGATTGACAGGTGAAAATTTAAAAACAATTAAGAGGTCTGCACTGCACTTCCAGATATCCACAAGTTTTTTCGAGTTCCAATTATCCAAGTTTTAATTACCAAGATAAAGAAGAGTTTTGGCCGGGACCGAAAGAAAAACTGAGTTAAACAGGGTCTTGGAGTCACGAGTTCTGGATAAAGAAGTTTGACTGTATATGTTCATCATATATCTGGTGACTCTTGCCGTTGTGAAACGACCTGTTTTCACCACACGTAATAAAATTTTCTGTATTTCAATGTCATAATACAAGATGTTGAACACATGAAAGTGATCAAATACACTTATTGTATAGAGCTAGAAGATGACATCAAAATTCTGCTCAATACTTTTTTGGGGGGCTTTTTAAGACTTTTTGGACCCCATTTCAAAACCTACATTTGTATATGAAGTGATTTTGTAGAAGATATATATGTGAAGTTTGATGACAATCGGTTAAGAAATAAGTCTTTAGAGTAAAGACATTCATATTCTCTTTATAGTAATGGTGACATTGGCTTTGACACTAGCAGGTGTACAAGGCCAGGGCTAGAAATTAACTTCAAAACCACTAGTAGTTTCCAATTTTACTAGCCCACATGCAAATTCCACAAATGAAATATATTATTCAACATGAAAATTAATACTAAATTTTGACAAGTAAATCGGGCTAGTGGTTTTTAGAGAAAGTAGCCCAGCTGGAGATTTCACTAGTCTCAGATTAATGGTTAACCCTTATTTTCTAGCATTGTGCAAGGTTTTGTCTGAACACGCCTCAAGTGCCTGGAATTTTTTACTTTTTCTCTCCAATTAAAATTCCATTCTGAAAGGGGCTGTTTATTGGCCACTGTGAATATAAACAAGCATTCCTAGGTATGATGTGGATGTGTTGCCTGCACACACTCTGGTGGAACAATGGTTGATTGTAATTCAGCCATGATGAAGGAATTATATAATACAATACGGCAAGACACATTACTGCATGCTCAGATAGCAGCAGGTTATTTCAATATTTGTAAATTTGGTTGAGCATCAAACTTGATCTATGAACTTTGATAGCATACTATAAGTGCATTTTATCACGATCTAATAGCTAAAATATCATCCGGACACCCCAGTTCAATTAAGATTGCAGCAGCCTCGTCAATGACTATGCATGCATCAACTAGTGCAGAGCTGACTTTGCCGACTCCTTTATATACAAGTATCTAATGCGAGGGAGTTTGCAAGTTTAGTACTACCAAGCAAGTAAGCTTAAAATCCTATAATTTCTCCACAAGTAATCTGGACACTTGACTATACAAAATCCAAGATTGCTACTGGCAGCCATATTGAATTACAGATCATAATTCATATCCTGGAAAATGATGACAAAAGCGTTTCAAGGAATTTTCATTTATCAAAGTAAAGCATTCCTAAAGATAGAAAAAAATCTTAATCTTTTCAAATGTTAAAATCTATACTGAATTTCATGTTGGAGGTCAAAGTAATTTTGGAATGAATACTCTTCCACCCTTCACAGGCATGTCTCCCTTTTAAGCCAGAAAAGATCAGCTTGTCACCTCTTATGGGAAATTAGCCACGTACAGAATGGTGCGATCTAAATCATAACAATACTTTGATGTCACGTCGACAGTAGCAGACCATGGAAGACAACTCTGGATTTGCTGCAAAAACATGCAATCAACGCTTATGTCAATGCAATTGTCGGCAGACTTGCAAGTGATACAGGATGGGAGGAGGAAAACCATCATTACCTACCTCGAGGATGCGACAGAAATCTCCAACCCTCGGGATGATATTCTTGAATTTCTTACCCTCGGCAAAGCTTTGGGCAAGACAATCAAGAACGTCATTCCTCGGGGCGGAGATTTCTGTTACACCCTTAAGGTAGGGGAAGATTCTATTAATCATTCTGCAAGTCTTGATTTTGTGAAAATCAAACGATTCCTTAACGAGTTAATCCATGGGAAACTTTGCGCAGGCAACAAATCTGATGTCCAGGATGATAAACGGGTATCTGGATTTGAGCCAACAATACTCTAGTTTGTCGGTTTTAGTATGTAAAGGGAGGCAACTGGCATACAAAACTTTATACAATGTTAAACCATGTCAGTAGAACTCAAAAAAAAATAAAAAATTATATTATTAAAACCTGTAATGAAAATAAACAAACACAAAGAAACAGAGTTGTAGTGTAAACATAAATGAATGTGGAGACCTACCTTGGCCTTTTTTTTCTTCTTGCTGTAAACAAAGAAAATACATTTTTTTTTTTAAATTAAACAATTGATACCAAGTCACATATCAATTATCTATGGTTCATGCAAAAGTACTATCAAGTGCCATGGCTGCATAAAAATCACGGACTTATGCAAGTCCCTCCCTTGAGTATCTCTCCTTCTCGATATTGTAACGAAGGTTAAAGACCTATATAATTATTCAGTTTCTGGTTAATGTGAATAATATGTATAAACAGTTTTAATTTTTGACGTTCAATATGCTATATTCACAAAGCACTTGTATTATACTAATCGGGCTTTTATCTAGACTGTATTGGGAAGCTATCTACAAACTCGTTAGGCACAGCTGCCGACAGCTTATTTAGTAGAAGTCAACATTCTCTTTCACTTGGAGACTTTCCATTAAGAGAAAGAAAACACGAAGCCTACTTTATCAAGGACAGTTATCAAACAGTCGTTCGACAAGTCGTGAGCATGAAACTACGCAATGATGGACAAGGGGAGAAAACTCTTTAAACACAAACTTTAGAGTATTGGAATACGAGGCGTAGTAACTTGAACAAAATATGGTTCGGAACTTTCACCGATTAAAAACGCCACTGTTTAAAATCTTTACATATTTTCTTTGAATTTTTTGTCTAAGGCCAAACAAAATTGATTACTTGGTTCTCAGGCCCGCGCGCATTTCATGGCAGGGTGCGCATTGCCGATTTTATCGTGAAAGTAATAAAAAAAAATCGTGAATGCGCCAGCCGCCATCTTTAAAAATAATCCGGAAAATTGGTCTGCATGTCGTTTTTACTCGTTAGTTACCAAAGTCCCGAAAACGTTTGAATAAATGTAAGGATTGAGATACAGGCAAGCGTTAAAATGATTATGACTTATTAGTCTTGTGTACAAATGGTGCTCAATTCGGTACAAATAAGGAATGGGGGGTTCGTGGTTCTCGTCTGGAACATCGTGGGGGGATTTTCGGAGGCTTGCTCTATGACGGGTCTCTACACAACTAGAAAAAGACAAGGTAATGTCCACAATGAACGTTTTACAAACTACACAATAAAAAAAAACGCCCTCGTCTGGTTTTTGCCATGTAAAATGAAAAAAAAAAATACCGCCCTGCCGCATCTATTTTGAAAAAATAATGGCCTGCAAACCAAGTAATTAATTTTATTTGGCCTAATGGATATTTTTTACCGTATAATAGCATTGATCATATCATGAAATAATGAACACATTATCTCAAGATCTTGCGCAGAAGGAGATATAGTGTTGTTTGGGTTTTTTGTGAAGAAATTATTTGGTCCAAAAAGCATAGTAATCGGAGATTGATATAGTTCATGATGCTCACTGAAAAAACTTACCTTTTCGATAAATTTAACATTTTTTCTTTGATTTATTGATCGTTTTCATATGTATTTCATCATTTTATATATAGCATTAATCATTTAAAGATCTTTAGCGGAAGAAGAAAGTCTGTCGTTTGGTTTTGATTTGCCCAGGCTTGGCGAGGACTGCTATGAATGCTGTACACAGGATCCAATAATACATGCAAGAAAGATGGTTAAAATGGACATCTGCTTCACTGCATTAAATGACTTTAATTGAAGCTTTATTTCAATTGTTAAGTGTAGTTATTTCAAGTGTAGTTGTGTTATGAATAGATAACATAAAATAAAAAAATAGTTGTAAGTTTTGGTCCAGACTGATGACAAACAAGACTGTCATCATATTATAGATTTACAAGAGAATAATTTTCTGTTGCCGAAAATGAATTGCGTCCAGAAGTACTTTCAAGTGCCATGATAATTCACTTGCCTCGATTTTTCTGGACTGCTTTCTTCCTCGCTTTCCTCTTCCTCCTCTTCATCTTCCTCCTCATCTTCATCATCCTCCTCTTCATCTTCTTCCATATCCTCTTCCTGGAACAGAAATGGCACAAATGTTCAAGCGACAAAATCATTGTTCTACGTAGAAATAAATCATTTGTATCGATTCCCACTAGTACTGCTAAATAAATTTTGCTTGGTTTGTAAACATAATTATCAAAAGAAGCAGATTATAATAGGTAATTAGCACTTTGGATGACAATGTTAAGTAGTTAACTTTCACAATGGTAACAAATTGCACCTGTTAAAATGTCCATGCAAATAATAAATCTGAAAGCAGTGAGGTTAGTAATGGTCAAAGGGAGGTAACTCTTGTTAAAATTTATACCTTTAATGATAAGTCCTTTACTTGCACTAACCGGTCAAGTATTTCCTAAAATGGCTACAATAATCAATTTGGGAGTATTTATCAACCAATTATCTAGAAAAGTTGCTGATCTTTGCTTCACTTTTTCCCCCCTTAATTTTGCCTTTTGACGCCTCAATTGTAATGTACATGCTTACAGCTTTTATTTGCAGAACAGATTAAAACAAAATCAACTGTCATCGAAGAGGTAATTTCTATGGATTTAAATCATGTACATCTCACAGCTTACCTTCTTTGTATATCGTTTGATGAATTTGTTTTATATTTAATTCAGAACTGTAAGCTCACCTTTAGCTTCTTGACTAATACGATGCACTCAAACTCCTTACTCACCTCCATTTTCCCTTTCTGAAGAGACAAAAAATGAAATCAATAAAGAAGTTTGAACTTCATCAAAAATTTTCACTTAAACTAACAAAGAATGAAAATATGTGAAGCAAAGATCCAACTAGTTTTGAATATTTTATATCCTAGGAACTTCCTGTAGTGTCCGGAGATCTCCTCCTACACTTTTCAACAGATCTCTTTGAAACTTGGTGTACATTATAATCACGATATTAAGTTGTGTCTCTAAAAGAACTTGATTCGACGATTTCAGTCCTCGGTTAGAACCCTATATATCGTGTGTGATCAGTCCTCTGTTATTAGCCCTATCAGTAAGTAACCTGTAATTAAAAGGGCTGCAAAGCACAGTAGCATGCATCTACGATACTCCAGCAGTTACGCTAACTTGTACTCTCTGCACCCCTGGAATATGTTGCGACAAAATTGAAGGCTCAGTGTGCACCACCTTGTGGACAAGACGATGAGAAGACTGGTCAGATGTACCTCAAAAGAATCTTGCAGCCAGTAATGGCAACCTTGATTGGCTTTGAAGTCGGGTGTCACTCCTCTGGAATCTTCAAAGGACGGGTATCAGCCTAAAGATTGGTCCGTGTTTTTACCCAAGATCAATGAAATAGTTAGCCGCATCGCATGCCTTCAATTTTGCTATGACATATTCCAGGGGTGCAGAGAACAATGTTAGTGAGCAAGACACTTCACCCAAGATGCTCAACTCCAAATTCCTATAAGGAGTATAATGCGATGTGGTTTAGGTAGGGTATAATGGTTCCTGTTCTGTAGTTTTTAAATGGTATGGGACTAAAATGTGCCCTTAGAAACATGGATGCGACACTTAAAACCTTGTACAAATGGAGATATAAAACAGGATCGTGTAACAAGATGCTTTCGAGTAAATTGTGTTAGAAATATACATGTTCATCATCCCATGAATGCCAAATGCTGAATTAGTCATTTCCTCCAGATAAGACCGGGTACAACACCGTTAGTTATCTCCTTCAAACTTCTCTTCATTTCCATCCTCCCAACCACACCCCATAAACATCAATATGGACAGATCAATGCAATTTCGATATAATTTGATGCCGACAATAACAACTTCACCATGCAACGTTGAACTATCACCAATACCAATGTTTGAAAAAAAGAGCCTACAAGATTGGTTGTACACTTTCAAATCGAGAAGGACAGAAATGTGCAACTGTTTAAGTCATCCTATACTTTAAAGTCCCCATTGGTTAGTCAATAAAACAATATCTACAAAATGGCTCAAATTCCCGTGTATACTTGAAATAGGAGGTGAACCATTTCATATGGTACGTGCCCTTTACCTTCGATTTTGTTGGCCCTTTGGACGACGAGGCTTTCCTCTTTTTTGTCTTTGCTGGTTCCTTCTCTTCTAATAGTTCTTCTTCGTCTTCCTCAGTCTCTGTACACGACTCATCTTGGCTGATGTTCCCTTCATCTGGCATCTCTGATGGAAACAAAATCAAATGTAGGAAGGGCATATGGCTATGCAGTTTAACACAATGTACAAAACTGATTGATAAAGTTACTCCAATCATTCTACACCTTCCCACTCATCATTTAAAGCCCTATACCCAATACACTATACTTTAAGAGGACCAATGGGCTTGTTTCGCTCACATGGTATAAATCTCGCACTTGTAACCTTAAAAGTGGACCTGACAAAGCTACAGGCCGAATACCATTACCAATGACTAGTTCAAGCCATTCAAAAGTTTAGTTCATTGAGAAGATGTTATTTAAAACTTTGCACACATTTGACCATGTAACCATAAAAATGGTTCAGGGTCATTCATATCAACAAACTTGATTGCTCTTAAATTCATGCCAGCATGCTACTGGCCAAATATCATCACCCTAGGTCTTTTGGTTATTCTAAAAATCATTCAAATGCTTCCAACCCATTAGACCGGTGACCTTGAATATGGGTGAAGGTTATTCATTTGAATGAACTTCTCTTCATCTGAGCATGTTACTGAACATATATCACCACCCTAGATCTTTGTTATACAGTAGTTGTTTAGATGTTTTAACACACTTGACCCCTGTGACCTTGAATATGGGTGATGGCAATTTATTTGAACACACTTGATAACCTTCCATTCAACCTAGACCTTTGGTTGTTAAGAAATCATTCAAGTTTTCAACATGTTCAACCCCCACGACTTTGAACAAACTTGATACCCCGTTGTCCTACCATGCAACTAGCCAAACATCATCCAAGGCTTTTTGGTTGAACAGAAAATATTACTATATTGTTTTAACATATTACATATTTGAACCCTGTGACCTTGAATATGGGCCAAGGTAATTCATTTGTAAAATAACATCACCCTAGGCTTCTTTGTTATTAGAAAGTGTGACATATTTTCAGAAAATGATACATCTGAAACGGTCAAGCCGTCGCATTATACTTGCACCAATTACCGAGCTGCGTCACATTTTACTTACCCACTAACTGCTGTGCCGTTAGATGAACTGGACCAGCGCCCTCTACCAGTTCAAATACTACAGGATTTTCATGTCCAAAACTTAAATCTAAATTGCACTGAAAAACAAATTGTGAAAAGTATAAAGTGGACTAAAAGTCAAGATCTACATCGCCAATACTTAAGAATGTGTAGGGCAGGGAGGCTGCAGCCAACTGGTTGACATGTCCTTGTCCTATTTAAAATAATTTGGAAATAATAGCACACTTTCTTTACAGATGTAAAATAAAAGTTACCAAACCTTTTCACATCCCATTAGAGAATCAAACACTGGACATCTTGGTAAGCAACCGACTTGCCCTTTTACATGTAAACCAGTAAAACACCAATATACACATAATTGTTATCTTGAACCTTCCACCTGCTTTCACGAATTTTGTTTTACTTCATATCTATTATCCCCCTTCCCCCCTCCCCCATTTGGCTTCGCCAGTATTCCCGTCAACTCACCATATCATTTGTGCCTAGTGTTAAAGAAACCACTGGATGTTTGATTTGTTCATTGTCAAAGTTTTTGGTCTCTACAGTTACTAAATTTCTTTCATCCTTCAATGCTGCTTGTCCTAGTACTGCCTGGAAAGTTGGAAAAAAACATCTGAGATTATACAGTCCTAATTGTCGAGCCTTAACGAATAAATTTACATAAGCTATAAGTACTTCATTTTTGTTTATTACTGGAGATACACAATTTGGCTCCACATTTTCACAGGATCCATTACATTTATATTGAAGGCCTTCATATAAACATTCCCGTTTCTTATATTTTTACTTTATCTCCTCCCTCCATTTCATCGACTTTTAATGAAGGATGGAATATAAACAATCTATCGAAAAAAATTCATTCCAGATTAATACATGCTTGGTTAACTGGAATGAAACGAGCGACATCCACAAGATTGGTTACAATTAGCTTTGTCTAATCATGGTAGCCCAAGACCAATAGTTTGCATTAGAAACCGGTAAAAATAATCTATTTTCAAAATAGACCAGTGCAAAATTATCTATATTACAACTATGTTGTTCATGACAGCCATATTGCAAAATAACAATTGCCTCGCAAAATAAATTCTATCTTAAAAAGCAAATATATTGCCGAGTCTATTTGAGACTATTTCCATGTAATATGAAGATGTACATGATTTGCTTAACAGTACGATGCGAAGTATTTTTTGGCAGGTTGTCAATGTTCACTAATATTTTTGAGAAAAATACCACCCACAAAATTATACATTTATCCATCATTACCACAACACTGTACCAATGGCCATGAAACTGAACACACTGAAAAAGTTCTGGCAAATCCCTGAAAATTAGGGACCCTGAACAAAAAAAAATGCTGAAAGTATTTCCAATATCAGAAAGTACTATTTCAAAATTGCTTGCCGAAAGGACCATTGTGTGCTTTCGAAAATTTGCTCTTGCCCTGTGTTGTTGATTTAGTAATCATTCTAAACTTTATCAAGATTTTCCGTACATGTATTTTATCTTGTGGCACTAGATGTAGTTGTACTGGTGTAGAAAGTCTGCTTTACCTGTTTTAAAAATAGTGTGTGTATAAGGAAATCTGTGTCTTCCTCTTCCTCTTCAAACGTCCAGGTTACCTTGGGGTTATCCTTGTTGAGTACACAACCTGGAATGCATGCAAGATTTAAGATGAATACCATTAGTGAATCTGTGGTTGATTATACAGATAGTGTTTCAACAATATTTTGTATTGTCCTACCAGTCATAAGGAAAATATATTACTGAATATTGTCAAAAGTAGATGGGAGGCCGGGAAGAGGACAGGATAGGTGGGTGTGGGGCGATGAGATAAATGGGCACAGGGTCAGGATAGATGGTACGTGTGGGGTCACCCACTCAGATGACAGATATTTAGTTGGCTAAAAGTATGGAAATAGTGGGCCAAATGGCAGTCTCTAGGTTAGTCCGCTAAAACTGACCATAATCACAGGCTCAAGTTCTAATCGGTCGCCTGTTTATGGTCAGCTATCGACTTCTCTTTAAAATGCAGGGATTGTCGTCGAAATCTGGCGACAGCGATTGTGAGAGTTATACATGTTTGTCAGAGAAAATAATCATACCTTTATTTCAGTCGATTCATTTCTCACTCACTTGACTAGATGTCGTGTCTGTACTCGATACAATATGGACTCTACTACATCGTTTTATTAAATTGATAGAAAGTTTGAAGAAATAAATCGGCTCAAAATGTATCAATGTCAATGTTCAATTCGGCCGAACCTGCAGACGACATGTGCGCCTTGGTCCGCCGATATTTTCCTGTTTGTGTAGGGCACAAATCCGTTTATTGTATTTAAGTATTTCCATTTCAACCATGCCAAACCCTTCAAAACCTTTATTATCATCGTAGGTGATGGGGGGGATAAAATGTTTACCATCATATTCATCGCTTCAATCTACACATCCGCCATTTTTTTCGATTTTTCAAAATTATGGAAAATGGAGAGCAAGTTTTGGGAAGTTGCACGTAGAAGGTAGGGAACTACACGTAGTTGTGGGTTGTTCATTATATAAGCACTTCCACAGCTCTGCCATCTGTTTTAAATATATAGGTTTCTTATAAGCATCCCCACTCCAATCCAAATTTCCTTAAAATTTAGATGAGGTCACTTAGCAATAAATGCCAAATCCTATTTTTTGACTTCATTTGGAAAGCTTGGGCTCAATCCTGAATCTACCAATACATTTTCAGAAAACATCTCCTTGCAACTGCTAAAGTCAATTTACAACAAGAACTACAGCGTCGCACATACTGGAACTGAAGACCTACAATATATTGGTGAAAGAGAGACATGTTACCATTACCTGAAGGCCCGATGCTGCATTTATTTCACTGTAAATGATTATTATTGTATTTTATTACTCTGAACAGTCAAATTATTAGTACTACAGAGCAAGGTTGTTGGCCGTTATTGGAGTTGTCTCCCTTTAATTTGTCCAAGATCAAAAAATGTGATTGAAGNCCCCCATCTTTAGAATATTGAATCATTTAGAAAAAAAAATGAACTCCAAAGAATTTCTATCACAGTTGTTAAACACATTAGGCCATTTGTAAATGTAAATGGGAAGATCGACACAGCAATAACATTAATTTATCAAAGGAGTCGGATGTTTAATCAATATATGTATAACAGTCTATATATAAAAAAAAATACCCTGTATACTGCATTTTTGCCTCAAACTCTATGTCCAAATCTACTGGAACAATAATGCATGGTTTTTTTAGAGTATACAGGTGTTTTTTTTTTATATATATAGACCGTTATGCATATATTAATTAAACGTCAGACTCCTGTGAATTTATACATCCTACAATGTAGTTTTGGGTGGCATATGAAATTTTACAACATTGAAACTTATTTTTGCGCACACACTCGAATCAATACCCGTTTTTTTCTCATTTCAATAGCTGCAAAGCCTGGTTTGGTTTTTTTCTCTGATCAAGAATATACCCAACATACCAATTAAATATTTAAGTACATAGAATTACCGATATCAGATACTTAACATAAGCAATGAATTGAAACTTAAATTACAATAAAAATAGCATGTGCACGACATATTTCTGCAAGTGATTCTTGTATCTAATGAAGATAACATGCGGGCCTTGTGAATACGACAAATGTCGTCGTTTCCACGTCATCTGGACACCATAAGCAATGTGCATTTGAAGGAAAGAGAACGGACAACGGTCAGACCGCGATTCGAACCTGTGTCCAGAAAACAGATATCCTTCACTTGTTCATTTATATGATAAATATATTAAACATCATAAGTGCCACCTCAGGAGTCTAACATAAAGGTTATTTTAAATTTATGATTTTTTTACGAGAATTTAAAACACTTTTAGTGCCACGCACTTCATTTGCGACGGATAATTATGAAGACATTTTTTGCTAAAAAACAAAACAGTAACCATATAAATTTACAAACCCCAGAAATATTCTCTAGAAACGTCGTTCATGATGAAGGGTGAACTTTATGTTTTGTAGACGGCAAGATGGTGACTCGAGGGCAGCCGGCTGGGCAGTAAATCGTCCGCTGGAGCTGGCTGAAAATTGACCGAGTGAAGGTACGCGTGGCAAGCTCTCCAGGTACACCGACTTTTTGCACGTGATTTTCGTGAGAGGTGAACGAATTTCGCGCCAAAGCGTCACACTTCCTGTTCCGTTTCAGGCGTCTCAAATTTTCCGTCATTTACCGAATTTTATGCAACAGATTCTTTTTTATATTTTAAAGATTGTTTTTATTTTGTTTCATTTATAGCTTTCTCTTTTTTTATTTCCTTTTTTTAATTTTATGATTATACATACCTATATTAAAACAGTCTACCAAAATCAACCTTAGACATTAACTTTTCGTCTTTAATTTGTTTATCAACAAGGTTAAATATCTTGACAGTTTGTTGTATTTTTGAAGATAAGAAATGCTATAAGTTGATCTTAATAGCAGTATTGATTTATGATTGATTGACAAATAGTTTCTCTATTTAATTTTCTTGATGATAATTCAATATTTTTCAATGAACAGTATTATTTTTTTCATATTGTTAGATCGATATTTTTACAACTGGTTATAGGTTGTATGGCGGTAATTTGGGCCACGAATGTTAATATAATAACATGTGCGTTTCTTAAGATTTGTTAACTTAGGATTGAAGCGCTACTGCCATCCTCGATATCAGAGGTTAAGCTCACTTTAGAAAGCGAAATTGAGCGTAACCCCTGAATCGGAATTCTAATCTAGGATGCTGTTCTGCAGGAACCAGGGAACACTCGTGCTACTTGTTTATTACTTTGATTTTTACGCCAAAACCTACAGGTTACGTTTCTGTACTAGGGTTGAAATTCACATCGTTTCTACTCATATTGTGATAGTTTGCGTATGAGAATGGTCCACACCTGGATCCGGAGTGGACCCATCTGTAGCTGTTCAATCTGTGGCAGCTCTGCTGGCTGACTTTTAACCATTTTAGTGCTAAAATCAGGTTTAACATTTCTAGGTAAATAGACTGTGATATGAATTGCTGTGATTAATATAATATTTCATGTATTGAATCGAATTTTACTACTTATGTTACTATTGGTTTTCTCTCTTAATCTTATTCTTCTTTACTACATGAAATGCTGTTTTTTAATCCACACTATGTCAGTGTATATCATGTCAATTTTTATGCATAATACACTTGTATAGATTACAAATAGTGTTTTAACATTCAGTGTAGAAACACATCGTTCATAGATTGTGTCAAACCTCTGAATTCTATATAAAAACATAACATAAATAAGTATCAAGCCTTGTGATATTATTAAAAAATGTGCAATTGATTGTCTAACTTACATGTGACATTACCGTGTATTTTTCTGTAATGTAAAAATTGTCTGCTATGCTATATATATTAACTCATTACTACTAATACTATTACATTATTGTTATTGTTATTTTAGATACTTTTGCTTGTCGCAAAAATAACTCTCAAGAGCTAATGTCCCATGTTGATATGTATGGGACTCTAAATAAAGCATCTTGTATCTTGTATCTTGTATGATAGTTTGATTTGACGCAACTCTTTTTTACATTCTATCAGATAAACCAGGGAATTTAATTTCCGCTAAAGCAAACACCCACCCCCTCTTTTTCGGTCATAGAAAATTAGTCAATAAATACATAAAGATCTCATTCAAAAAGCCAATTGGATTTTTTTGACCAAAGATATTTTGCGATTTGTTTCAAAACGTGTAAGATTTACCTCCCTTGTACCAATGATTGTCAAGATACCAGCACGTGTAGATTATATCCTGACAAAAGGCGCAGTGGGTCTCTTGTTCCATGCATATATCATAGAAGTTCATTGTTACATTGCTATATATTTTGTTTGCATATTTTGATGTCTTATTTATTTCCCTTCTAATTCAATATTTTGCGTCGACCCATCCTCGAAACTCCAGGGGTTACGCGCACTTTAAATCTCTCTCTGCACGAACGAAAGTGACGTAACCCCCTAGAGTATCGAAACGTTTTACAACTCAACATGTACAAATAACATCACGTGATTCCTGTACGTACCAGTAAACACTTTAAAATGTCAACCCGTGAAACTAAAGACTATGAACTCGGGGCATGGTACATTGTACATGAACAACTTACATGTAGGAAGGGCCAACCAACACCAGAAAAAAGGTCGTAAGTTATAACATAAACAAATATAGACAGTGAAAAAATATACAAGTCTATATAAAATCAAACCCATATGGTTCAGGATCATTGTGTGATTTGTATATTTAAAAAAAAAATGTTTTGGCTGGTTTCAGGAAAGGTTATTTCCTTAACATCGAACAATGTAGAATACGACCACAAGCTGAATATCCTGACCATCAGAACTGTAATCAGCTCTGTACGTAAATAGTAAAACAGGCTTTGTATTTTGACAGTACGTTATCATATTTTAGGTTTTCCTTCTCCTTCGTTAATTGTATATACAAAGTTCTCGGCAAAGTCTTGCAATTTAAATCTTTATCAATTAACCCTAATTTGAAAAAAAAGAACGATAACACAACGTTATGCAGTGGTGTAAAGCTTACCGTCCTTCATCAACATTTGCATCGTTTCTGTCCTGGCCTCTTCAAAATTCTTTAAACAGTTTAGGATAATTAGCCCACCACCATCAGATGATGGGCTATTCAAATCACCCTTCGTCGGTGGTCCGTGGCCCGTGGTCCGTGATCCGTCAGGCGGCCATCTTGGATTTGAGAGTTAAAGTTTGTTATCGTTATTTCTCAAAAGGTTCTGGGGGGGTATCTTTCTCAAATTTCACATGAAGGTTCGAATTCCCTATGGTCCTTACTTATGCATAACGAATTTATGGACTGAAGAGAAAACCAAGATGGGCGACATGCAGCCATCTTGAATTTGAGATTTAATGTGCAGGAGGGGTCTTTCTCAAAATTTCACATATATGTTCCTTTTTGGTCCTTAGTTACGCATTTTGGGACTGATTGGAAAACTGAGATTACCAGCAAGTTGCCAACTTGAATTTGGGAGTTAAAGATTGTTAGCGCTATTGCTCAAAAAGTTTTGGAGGGATCTTTTTTAAATTTAACATGAATGTTCCTATTGGTTCTTAGCTATGTATATTGAAATTTTGGACTGATCTGAAAGCGAATATGATGGACAGGCGGCCATTTTGTTAAGGTTAAAGTTTGTTATCGCTATTTCTCAGAAAGTGCTAGAGGGATCTTTCTCAAATTTGATATGTAGGTTCCCCTTTGGTCCTTAGTTGTGCATGTTTACATTTAAGACTCATCAGGAGAATAAAATGGTTTCCATGGAAACTGACCAAACAGATAAGAGAAAATAAGAGAAAAGATCGAACTGACATAGAACTAATAAAGATGGTACGATGGTGGGCGCCGAGATTCCTCTGGGATCTCTTGTTTTATTTGGTCATCCATACTATATTTTAAAATGTTTTCAGTTCATGTTTAGATTTGTGACCTAGCTACTTGTTTCTAATTTGGAGATCGGTTATCCATTTAGAGCAAAACCAACTGACAGGCCGGCAAATACTTCCTGGAGTGCGACACCACTGTGTATACGTAAATCAATTAACTATGTCAGTAAACTTTAACCTTTCACTCAATGGAACTAAATGACAACCTTCAGTTGCCTCAAATAGGGGAACCTTTTAGACACATAGCAAAAACTTCATGTGGTCCAGTCGAAGGTTGTGGAAAGGTTTTATAATATAGAAAATATTACTTACGAGTTATTCCGCCTGGCTATGTCATTGGTGTGATTTTTATTGTTATTACGTATACAGTAATTTGTGTCCAAAGAGAGGACGTTGATAAGTTGACAAAACCTGTGGTTCACCCCCTACACAACCTTTTGGGGGCAATAAATATGCTTAAACTACAGAAAATAAGCTTTTAAAATTGTAAGAGTGAACACTTTGAATTTTGACCCCTGTTGACTCTCCATGGCCTCTGGTTGACGGGAATATTGTCTACTTATAAGTTTCGACAGGCCAATTCAAAATGCATGAATTATTCCTCATTGTCCTGCTCAAGTGTACGTGTAGCGTGTAGGCGTTATTCGTCAGCTCGTGTCATTTGGGGGGGGGG